GGGGGTAAAGGAGATCAGCAGAGTTGAAGTGAAGTACCTGAGGGAGTAGGAACACTAGGAAATTAGGACACGAAACACCTATTCTGAAAAATGACATGAAACTTTATTTTAAAGACTTTTCAAAAGGTCAGCAAAGATGGATGGGGGAGAGGTCATACCACTTGGATCAAGTTTGAAGAGAAAACAGTGAGACTGGGAGTCTGGAGGAAAGAGGCCAAGATAGTAAAACCAGCTAGAGTTGACAAAGCAGTTACCTGGCTGAGAAGATGCCAGAACTGGAGAGGGGAAGCAATACATACTTAGAGACAAGAAGGGTCATAAGTGTTTCCAAAAACTACACAATGCAACAAAAAACTTAAGTAGAGAAGCAGATGTTGGAGTGAGTGGGGTTAATTCTGGAAAGAAAGGGATTAAAAAGTCAGCAGTGAAAAATAAAAAACAGAAAATAAGAAAAATAGAAAATAAGTAAAATTAAAAAATAAAATACTAAGAGTTAATAAGTCCTCGGATGAACTGGAAACAGACAAACAGTCCTGGCAAAGGGAAATAGTTGTCAGAGCTGCATTCTCCTAGAGAGATTCACTGTATTTTATGTCATTCATTCTTGACAACTTCCACATTAAGAGTGATCAGTCACATCTGAGCCATAGGGCACTTTCTTACAATTATAGCAAATATACACACTCTTATTCCCACTTTCCTTCTCTTCCCTATGCCAATGTGCATCTAAAATAGCCTTTTTATTTTGGGTCCAGGTAAATTTAGAACAGAAAAGGAGAGCCGAGTAATAATCCTCTAGTAACAACTGCTTACACATAATGCTGTTTTGGCTAACCTGGAAATTAGTTAAATGGTATACACACTAGACCACATACAAACACAAACAGGAGTGCCATTATTTATTATTGTTCTTTGAAAGGAAGAAAAAAAGGATTTTATAATGTTAACACTGACAACATTGGCCAAATATAGATCAATATCGAAATATTTTATGACCATGGTTGATGATAGAGAACTTTATTACAGATAATTAGAAAAAAAACCACAGTGGCACTGCATAATAAATTGTAGACCCTGAAACAAATTTCACTAATCAGTCAAATCCCTTATCTATTGTAAAAGCAATTAAATATCACAATAAGAACATGTTATGGCCTTTATTAAAATAGGCATTATAATAAAATAAAATCCAGATTTTGGTAGCTCCACGACAGACCACTGAAGTTTAAGAAAGTTTGTTTTGTTCTTTAATGAGCATTAAACTCTTTCCACACGACATCCCTCCAGTCCAAGCAGTATACAGGTCTTTCTCCAGCCTTATGAAAATGAGTTACTACCACACATGCACCAATTAATTTAAAGAACACTCACTTTAAAAAGCATCAGTTAATATATAGCTATGACGAATACTGGCACAAGCAGCAGAATATACCTTAGAAAAGTGGAAGGAATAAAGTAACTTTTTTTTTTTTAAAATGCTCACAAAGAAAACAAAAATACTTACTGCTTCAAATTTCTCCCTATTTTTCCGAAGATACTCTACACAAGCCATCCGAACATCAATGTGCCGAGACTGAGAGTGTAACACCTATAAAGGGAGAAACCAAAGAAAGTGACACTGGTTCTTAGGAGTTTTGATGACGGGTCACAAATAATTAATGAATGTTGTCTAAATACAGGATTAGAAATACTCTAGTTTTACTTTTAAGAGTATTTAAAATGCATATTCATTCTGTAACAACATTTTTATGCAGGCAAAACCTCAATTACTTAATCAAAATTAAGAAATTGCAGAATGCACAGATTTACTAAATTCAAACGTTCCGTTTTATGAGCATGTACTGAGTGAAAGGAGTAGCATTTGTTGTCATTCTTTAACCAACTCCTTTGTAAAGGACTTCACTTAATTGAGTAAGTTACTGCAGGAGTGGATGAGGAAATCAACTACAAACATACACTTGCTGAAATGAAATCCAACCAAATGTAAGAGTGCAGGGTTACTTTCTCTTGACATTAAGAGGCGTAGGTCTGTTGCCCAAAAACTGATTTGGAAGCCAGGAATTCAGATCCCAATATGACGTGTGCATTCTACCTCCTGTTCATATCTCTACTGGAAAAACATTACTTTCATCACAGGATCAGCATTTTCTATCACGTGACTTTGTCTGCATTCTCACTACAACATAAGGAAGTTCCAGTCAATTTAAGTTGCAGCCTCTCTTGCAATCCTTACACGCTAGCCTCAATTTAAAACACTTCCAAATTCAGATCACTTCAGTTTTTCTGCATGAAGAGTACAGAGATTAGGCCAAATCTGCAATAAACACCTACTAACTTTGAATTAAAGACCTTCCCTTTAATCAAGTAAGAATGGGCTGTTAAAAATTTCATTAATAGTTGAAAAAAGTTCTACATACACTGGAGTGTGGGAGAAACTTTCTATATATATTAATTAAAAACATCAGACTATCAATTTGTATCGATTGATTATTCCCTTGAATTAAAAAAAAAAACTACTGCAGATCAACAGTGTTTGCTTGCCTGAACAGTAAGGAAAGTAATTTTTTTTAAAAAAAAAAAAGTGAACAACGTATAATTAGCACAGGAATCTGGGCTCCCACAATCAGAAGCACCAGAGCTCCCACTGCTGTTTGTCTGTATTTAAGACAAGATGACGCTGTCACTTTTTTAACAGTAATACTGAAATGGGGGAGGGGAATTCAACAGGAAGAACTCAAAATAAATTCCTTAATTTTATGGTAAAGTAATTAACAAAACTAAGAACAAGGCTTTTCAGCTCTTGCCACTAAATCCTATTTCCTAAATAGTCCCATACAAAGCAGTTGTACCCAAATGTTTAAATCTTACCCCGAAAAAAGCTCTGGAAAGGCAGTGGAAGGTCAAAGCAGGTTAACAATTTCTTGATGACAGAGGAATGGTGTACTCACAGAATTTCTCTCACTCGGTAAGACAGAAATTACGTTACTTTTCCCTGGCACACGCCGGTGTAACCTTAACTTAGACTTGTCTGCGTTTTAACACTAATTATCATCCGCTAATGAGATCCACTTCCCATGCTTTCACGCGAAGTAGCTTTGTTTATGCAAGCAGTTACCTGCTCGGCCACAGCCCTGAAAAGACAGGATCCATCCTTGGCAACTCTCTTTCTGTACAAGCCCTGAGATCGCAAGTAGCAGTCCATAGAAGCGTCCCCGGGGGCGTCCATGCCGCTACTTTGATGACTCTGCTCCCCGCCGTCGGGTTTGCCCGCCGCCTCCATGTTTACCGCTTCACGCTGTGGAGAACCGCTGCAGCTCTCCTAGCCCCACATGGCCAGGTAAAGCCACTGAGCAGCTCTAGGGCCCGGCTGAAGGGAACAGCAGCAGGTGGGGGAGGAGAGGGCCGGCCCCTCAGCGCCCGAGGTAGCAGCAGTAAGAAAAGCAGCCGGTCTCACGGTATCAACTTGCATGTGGGGATCGCGGAGAGAAACCGCAAAGTTTTACTCCGCAGTCTGGACTTCCAGCTCCATAAAAAACGTGGCTCCTAGGCTTCTCTAGCGGGCCGGGCGGCGGCTCCTGGACACCTCTCCGGCGGGGTCCCGGTCCCTCTTCTCCCTCGGGGCGGCGATTCCCGGCGGCTCCCGCAGCCCCGGCGCGCCGCCCGCCCGCCCGG